AAGAATACTGCTTATATTATTTTCACAAGTGGTTCAACTGGAATACCGAAAGCGGTTTGTTAAGCATATTTTACACATAATGTATTTATTTGAATATTTTTTTATAGGTTCAAGTTCGACATGAAAATTTTAGTGAATGTATGAATTCTTTGATTTATATAAATACATTTAATAAAAATGATACAATGATACAAATGGCACGTTGTTCATTTGATATTCATGTTCAAGAAATACTTGGTCCATTAATGATTGGAGCTACATTAATTATCCTTCATCCAAAAGGAACTGTCAATTTTGATTATCTATCCAAAGTTTTAGACGAGAAACAAGTCACATATATGCATACTGTACCCAGTCTACTTCATAGTTTTTTCACTTTTCTTCAAGAATTTAATAATCAACATACTTTGAAACATCTTCGATCACTTTGTAGTATCGGTAAGTAATAATTGAATCAATTTCAATATAACCTCTTTAATTGTACCCTTTTCATTTCTTTTTAGGAGAACCTTTTTCTGTTAAATTAAATAGTTTAATAATAAATATTGATATCCCAACGTGTTCTGCATGGAATTTATATGGTCCAGCAGAAACAACAATTGCTTCTACGTTTCATCTTGTGAATAAAATAGCTGATCAGGATAGTATTCCTACTGGTCTACCACTTCCTAATTATCAATGTATGATTACTGATGAATTTTCTCAATCTATTCCCATCAACCACGAAGGTGAATTATTAGTGGGAGGAGTCGGTGTGTTTGCTGGATATTTACGACGTGATGATTTGACTGTAAAAGCCATTGTTGAAATTGATGGTGAATTATTCTACCGAACAGGTGATCTTATTCGAATGGATAAAAATGGTCGTATGCATTATCGAGGACGAAAAGATTTTCAAATAAAATTACACGGACAACGTATTGAATTGGCAGAAATTGAACAATGTCTACTTCAATCATCCATTTCAGCATGTGTTGTTATTAAATGGAATAATGATCATTTAATTGCATATGTTCAAAGTTCTAATGTTAATGAAAAACAATTACGAGAACATTGTCAATCTCATTTACCACCTCATATGATTCCATCAAAATTTATTATACTTGAAAAATTACCTTTGAATGCTAATGGAAAAATCGATCGAAAATTACTTCCTGTACCGAATTTTGCAACTACTGCCGAAGTTGATTGTATAGATTTGAATTCATTAACACCACTAGAAGAACATTTGCTTAGTATCTTCACTCGATCATTTCATACTGAATGTCAAAATCCTAAAGTATCTTTTGCTGCACTGGGTGGTACATCATTAGATGTTATTCGCGCAATAGCTTTGATTCGTCAAGAATTATATGCAAGCTTCGAATTTCGTTGCTTAGTTGCTAATCCATCGGTGCGTGAACTTGCTCGAGTACTTCAACCTCTTATTGTTAAACGTGAACAAACAAATTCGATATTAATGTCATCACAATTAGTAGATGATCATAATCGACCAACTCCATCGCTGTTTATTGAAACAATGGGTATTTTGGTTCTGATGTGTCAATGGTTTTATCCAATTTGGTGGGCTTTTCAATCTAGTCATTATTTGACTGTTTTTGCTGTACCCATCATCCATCTTTTGCTATATATCATATTTCAGCGATTACTGTTTCGGCTTGGCGAGCAGTTATATTATAAAGGTACACTTTATTCATGGCATTATTATAGATGGTGGTTTTTAGAGCGACTATGGTCAATTAATAACGCTTACTGGTTACAACATCTTGTTGGAACTCCATATTATAATTTGTATTTGCGATTGTGTGGTGCCCGTATAAGTCATCATGCGCATATTTATACTACACGAATTGATACCCCATGGTTGCTAGAAGTCGGAGATTTCACTGTCATTAATAATGAGACTATGCTCTCTAGTATGTCATATCAAGACCAAACATATGAACTTCATTCGATTGTCATTGGATCACACTGTTCCATTGATACGCGATGTATACTTTATCATGGAGTCAACATATCAGATCATGTACACATCAAACCTATGTCTGCAGTTACAGGTCATATATCGGCTGTAAATGACTATAAATCTTCTAAAAACAACTCTTTTTCATATGGTCAAGTTATTTATCAACTTATCTGTCTTGTATGTCTTGTTTTGATTCATGGTTTTTTATTGGGAATAACTTATCATGTCTATCAGTGTTGCTTAACTTTCTACTTACCATTACCCATTAGTCTTGCAATTGGTTATCTCGTCTGGATGTTAACAAGTCTAATAGTCACCATTCTCTTATTAAGATTTGTCGTGGGTCATGTCCTTAGAAAAAAATGTTCATTCAATTCCTATTATTATCTCCATAAAATATGGTTGCGACAACTTATCATAACTTCATTTCATCAGGCATTCCAACTTTTACCTGGATATGAAACATTCTTTTTGGTTCTTCTTCGTTGGTTAGGTGCTCATGTTGATGATGATGTAAAACTAGTCGAAATCGTATCTGTTTTACGTTTTCCATCAAATCTTCTTAAAATTGAACGTAGTGTCACAATTTTTGCTAGAGTAATGCTTGCTCCATTTGAAATGATAGATGAAGTTGATTGTTATTTCGACTATATTTCTCTTGGATCGAATTCCAATCTTGGCAATGGATGTACAATAATGCCAGCCACACAGCTTCCATCCAATACAATGATCGGTAATCTGACTAGGGTTACACGAGAGATAAATAATTCTGCTAGAGATGGTGTATGGCTTGGTATTCCAGCTCGACGTATGCCCTTCATACTACCTGACAACGTATCATCGATGAACGATTTATCATCTCATGAGTTTACATCTATACATCGTCTTGTTCAAATTTGCCTCAGCTTTCTGATTGGCCATTGTCTACTAATTACTCTTTACGTCTTGATGCCCATTTCTCTCGCAATAATTGCACACTTTATTCTTCACTGCTTTCTCTACCGTATCTTATTTATACGTGGCTGGTTCAGCGGAACTACTACCCTTAGTCAAGTTACTCTTTTCATACAAACAACATTTTCTATCATTATGGGCAACTTTAGCATTCTCATCACCCCGTTCTTATCGCGATCGCAATATCTTGTTTTTCTCTTCCGTTTACTAGGTGCTCGAATTGGACGCGATGTTATTCTACCTGACATCGATTGTCTCTCTGAACCACATTTAACAACTATTGGCAACCATGTTCGTTTAGCTTCAGACGCTCACATACAGGTCAGCTAATGCTAAGTTCTCTTATCATTCTATTATTAGATTTTGTCTTTTGTTTTTAGTGTCACACATTTGAGCAACGTCTGCTTAAACTAGCGCCAGTTATCGTGCAACATTCAAGTGTACTCGAAAGCTTCTCTATTGTTCTTCCCGGATCAATATTGCATGGAAAAAATCATCTCCTTCCATTTACTCTTGTCATGAAGAACGATGAATTACCATTCAATACGACATGGTCAGGTATACCAGCATGTAAAGGATTCTGAAAACATTTTTTAAATTTAGTATTATAGTATGCGTTTCATTTACTTACATAATATTTTAGTGCATGTCTTTTTTTCTTCATAATAAACTTACAATGAATTTTTATTTTTATCTTTGAATTAGTACGTCATTAAAATATATATCTGAAACAATATCCCACTAAAGGATACAAGATGAGAAATTATAGTTTCCCAGAGAAAGAGAAAGAAAGGAGGAGTGACTTGAAGATTATTGGTTTTAAAGATTTTGTTGTGTTCAGCTTTCGAAATTCTAAAAATCAGAAGTTTTTCGTTCCAGACTATAAGTTGATTAGAAGAGCTTTCTAAATGTCACAAGAAAAGAGTTCATGGTGAAAATGAATTACAAAATATTATATAATATATAATACAGAATGTATTATATAGATGTATTATATGTATAATACAACTATCAGGTATTATCAATTACTAGAACGTGCTACTATACTTTCTGTGTGTATTCACCTCATCCTGAGTTTAAAAATTTCCATCATTATTATTATGGTACCTGGTAATACCGGCTTAATTAGTTGAAAGATATTAATAAAATCTGAATTACTTTGTAATTCATTTCCGTCATTCAGTGAAAGTAAAATTAGAAGATTTTTTCAAGAGGATTATCAAACATTCATACTATTATCGTTAATAACACACGATGATGCTAAATTGAGATTAAAATGTCCGTTGCAGCTTAATTGACCCAGAACATCTGCCGAAAGAGAAGAAGGTGCGCAATTCGAGTCTCGCGAATACCATTCTTTTCTCTTTTCTGTTCTTTTACGTTGCTTTCTAGTATTAACTCCAGAATTATATCTGTACTAATTGTGTCAAGAAGACGAAAGTCACATCGAGCAAATCGATTACATTTCTTATAAATAAAAATATTTTTCATCTCTGACAAGGAACCAATGTTGTATATGTTTGTATTAATTTTTTCATACTTTTAGATAATCGTACAGAAAAAATTTCGTCAACCGTACTCTTTTAAGTTATACTTTCTTTACTTTAATCGTTAGAGATTTAATATCATGGCAAACTATTCATCAATCGAACCTATAGCAATTGTTGGCATAGCCTGTGAATTTGCTGGTGGTATCCATACACCAACTGAATTCTGGCAAGCACTTGAAGAAAGACGTAGCTTGGATAGTGACATACCTATTGAACGTACTGATCTTATGTCTTATTGTGCTCATATGCTCAATCAAGATAGCGGTGAATTTTGTAGCAAACTTATTCGTCGTGGTTATTTTCTGCCAACATCAGTATTGGACACATTCGACGCAGGTTACTTCAATCTTTCAGATGGAGACGCATCATCCATGGATCCATGCCATCGTCTGCTTATGCTAAAATTTGTTCATTTAATCGATGATGCTGGTTATACTCTGGAGAAAATTCGTGGATCACGAACAGCTGTTTACATTGGTCAATTCTCCAATGATCATGTGATGGCATCACTTCGACTCAAACCTGAACATCGAACACGTTATCATTGCCCTAATGTATTACTTTATAACGCATCGGCCCGTTTATCTTATCACTTCGATTTACATGGATCAAATGTGTCACTAGATACTGCTTGTTCTTCGTCACTTCAGGCCATTCAATTTGGTGTGCAAGCATTACGTACAGGTGAAGCAGATATGGCTGTTTGTGGTGCAGTCAATACTGTTTTGACACCTGAGCAGCTTCTCAATTTTTCAAGTATCGGTGCTATTGCCGTTGATGGACTAAGTCGAGCATTTAGTATTGATGCTAATGGTTATGCAAAAGGTAAACCATAGAAATTCAACGGACAATTGAATTTATATAAAATTTAAAAAATATTTTAATCAGAATTAAAAAGCTTTCTAACATTTGAAATACTATTTGTCATCATTGTTACCTTTTATCAATGATATATTGCTAAAATTCAGTATTACTGTTTGAAAAGTTATTGGAATCTTATAAAAGTTAATTTTTTTGACTAAATCTATGAAATCAAGATAGACAGAGAAATTGATATTTTCTATTACACAAAATAGTTGACAATGTCGTCTTGGATCTCGGGCCGATTTCATGTTAAAGAATAGGGTTCACTCACTGCTCATGCATGATAGTACAGAAATGAATATATAAGTTAATTTTAGGTGAAGGTCTTGGCCTTGTTCTTCTCAAACGACTAAGTGACGCTGAACGCGATGGTGACAGAATATATTGTGTATTGCGGGATATTTTAAGCAATCATGATGGATGTGAAAACAAAAACGGATATGTTGTACCATCAGCTGATGGACAAGAACATCTTCTTAACGAAATTTATACAAGAACACAATATGATCGAAATCGCATCTTTTATGCTGAAGCACATGGAACTGGCACACAGGTTGGAGATCCAATTGAAGCAAACACTATTGGTAAATTCTTTCAACGATCGTCTCTTGATCCTCCACTACTGATAGGGTCTGTAAAAACTAGTGTTGGACATACAGAAGGAGCGGCTGGGATTGCATCACTTATTAAAGTTTGTCTATCGATGAAACATAGGAGAATTCCACCAAATATGCATTTTAAAACATTCAATCCAAAAATTGAAGCACAACGTTATAATTTGCATGTAGTGCAGACTATTGTTCCATTTCCGCCATTCGATCCTAACAATCCAAACGAACATCCAGTAGCTATTAGCATTAGTTCATTCGGAATTGGAGGTAATAATGCTCATGCTATCATTGAAGAGTATCACCCAAAACAAACATCGATCACTACAAATGGACATATTTACAACGAGCAACTTCAACAATACTTTCTATTTCTCTTTTCGAGTAAGTTATATAAAATGCATTTGTGATAACTTAAGTATAAGATTTTAGCCAAGAGCAGTGAATCACTACACAAACAAGTAGCATCATTTCATGCATGGCTACGACAAGTAACAGTTCCGAATAATGAACAATCGTTTCTTGCACACATCTCTCAACAATGTTTACTTAAACGTACAATAAGTTACGAGCATTTAGCTATATTTATCTCGGCCAGTCTTGCTCAACTACAACAACAACTTGATTCTTTTGTTTCCCAACATTCCAATCCGGGAGTCGTCATCACGAAACGTCTTTTATTAAATAATCCACGCATATGTTTTGTTTTCAGCGGTCAAGGACCTCAATGGTGGGCTATGGGTCGACAATTATATTCATCTGAACCAGTCTTTCGTCGATGGATTCAACTAATTAGTGAAGAATTTCTTAAGATAAACAATAGTGAATATAATCTTCTTGAGGAAATGATAGAAAAGGAGGAACAAGCATCACGTATTAATGATACAAATATTGCTCAACCAGCTCTATTTTCAATTCAAGTTGCCCTTGCAGCTCTTCTTTTGTCATGGCATATTTTTCCCAGTGCTATTGTGTCTCATAGTGCTGGTGAACAAGCAGCTGCTTTTGTTGCTGGTCGTCTCTCATTGACAGAAGCTATTTGTTTAGTTTATCATCGTTCACGTCTTCAACATCGAAATACACGTCAAGGTGGTCGAATGTTAGCTGTTGCTATGGATGAACAAGAAGCACGCGATTTATTATTACAAGGAATTGAAGATCGTGTTTGTGTAGCCGTTGTGAATAGTCCTCGTTCGATAACACTTAGTGGAGATGAGAAAATAATCGAAGAGATTGAAACAATTCTTTCAACATTTTATCCAAAAGTATTTAAAGCTCGATTGCGAATTCAAAATGCTTTTCATTCACATCAAATGGATCGTTTTGGTATCAAAGAAGAAATGCTTTCAACACTCAAACACATTCGAGGTCTTCCTCTTCAAGATAAGAAAATAATGTTCAACGTTGACTGTGCTCATGTTCCCCTTTATTCATGTGTTACCGGACGTCTGATTGATGATAATATGCCACTTAATGCTGAATATTGGTGGTCAAATGTTCGTCAATGTATTCGATTTAGAGATGCTATTCAAACGATTATTAATCATGGATCAATTGACACTTTTCTTGAAATTTCCCCACATCCTGTTCTAGCCGTATCAATTCGTGAATGTTATGAGAAAATAGCTAGCACTTATCCACTCATTCTACCGACTCTAAAACGAAAGGAAGATGAACAGATCACACTATTAACCTGTGTTGCACAACTTTCACACTCTTTGGACGTATGGCACCATTATCTCTCATCTCGTTCTATTCAAGCAAATGGAAGTATGCAACATCTATTCGATACATTTCCATTATATGCATTCAATCTTACTCCATGTTGGTATGAATCAAAAGAATCTGCAATAGAACGTCGTGCTTATCGGATACCAACACATCCACTATTGGGCGTTCGACAATGGTCTGGTCATGCGTCGGCAACATGGAAAAGTCTTATCAATGTAAATTTACCTGAACATGCGTATTTGATTCAGCACAAAATTCGGGACGCTACTTTACTGCCTGCCACTGCTTTTGTTGAAATGGCCTTAGCCGCTTGTTATGAATTGCTGCAAGCAACAACAAGTAATGAGGTTCCACCACCAATCGCTTTTGAAAATGTTGAATTTGTCAAAGTTCTTGCTCTTTCAACGCATGAATTGACTGAAATGATTACACAAATTGTAATGCCAATGCGTGAATGGTTTATATATAGTCGACCATGGTCATCGAGTGGACAAGATTGTTTGCGACCATCAGGCATGAGTTGTGATGACTTCGTCAATTCTTTTACTAATCAGCAAGCACTTAACTCATATTCATTAGGAGAATTTACTCTGCATGCACGAGGTTTAATTGATATTGGTCCTCATCTGAACATATACGCTTCTGCTGCCGTTCGATTTGACAATGAAATAACCAATTGGCCTTATATGGATTGCGAAACGATGTACGGTCATTTCGCAACACGAGGTTTTCAATACGGTCCAAGATTTACAGTGACAAACTGGGCTAAATGTGTAACTTCAAAGGTAATTAGTAGTATATCTCCACGAAATGAAGAACATAAGGATGATCGTTATCATCTACATCCAATTTTAACTGATGGTAGTTTACAAGCACCATTATTTATCTTACCTGGAGCGGAAACATTTCTTCCAGTTTCTCTTGGTAAGATCATCGTATATGGAAGTACATTTAATGCACCTGAAATGATCTGTAACGTGCATTTTCATTCTTCACTTGCTGGTCTTTCACAAGAACATGCAGTTACTCTTGATAGTGCTATATTTAACGGTCAAGATGACATAGCTTCATCAAATACGAAGCCGATTGTTATGTTTCAAATGTTTAAATATCAACGTCAAACTAGTCATTGGTCACTATCAAACAAATCTCTTTTAGAAAAAATAAATGAATTTAGTTCTGCACTCAACGGACAGTTTGCCGAATATCTGCCAATAGTAATTACCAGACATTGTCTCGAAAAGAAATGGTCACATATTCTGATTGATTCATCTGAGACTGTTAATTTACTACCATCATCGGATATTTTAATTCATAATATAGATCAAACTGAAAAGATAAATAATGATAATGATGATATCAATAGTCAATTGATAAATTCAATTCAAGCGTTGAATGAATTAACTGCGAAATATGCTCTTCATGCACTTCAACATCTTTTATCATTAAACAATACTCAGCCTATCAATGAAAATGAACTAAAACGTCATGTACGAAATGATGAACCCTATTTTCTTTGGCTTATGGAAGCTTTGTTTTCACTTGTACGCCAATGTGGATTGATTGATCAACTTGGAAATCCATCTTTATCTATAACTAATCATTCACTTCAACTCAGTCACAAACAGGTTCTTGACCAATTTCCTCTTCTTAAATCATTACTTGGTCTTCTGAATGTAAATGGATTACAACTTGGTCCAATTCTCTCAGGGACACAATCCATAGGTGATCTATTTATAAACAATAAAGACAATGAACAACTTCTAGGTGACGTATTGAATATCATCTCATGTTCGAAAACTCATAAACTCTTTCAAGTACTTATCGATCATTTATCTAATCATCATTCAAAGCGTCTACGAATTTTAATTGTTGGTTGTGGAACAAGTTCGATTGCTTTACCTATTCTTCAGCAATTAGTTAGTTTTGCCGAACAAACAGATACATATGTGAATCTGTTATACGTCGATCTAACTGAAACACTTTTAACAGAAGCTGAGAAGGCATTTCAAACTATTCTTACAAAAGATAATAGAAAAAATCAGCTAATTTCTCTATCTTATCATGTACATGATATACAAGCCGAATTTGATGAATCAAATATTTCAGGTATTTATATATATTAACTTACTAATAACAACAATAAATGCATTTCTTCTTCGTCGTCAGGAACTGAGATTGTATTAAAAGAGTTTTCCGATTCGAATTTCTATAAATATTGATAAAGCCTAAATAAAATTAGTAAATTTTTGTGACATGTGTTTCATTTACTTCAGAGAGAACCATATCCAGGATAAATCCATATACCTTACTAGTTCGGATCAAAATTTTAATCTGAACTAGTCCGCTTTCAACATCTGTAGCACTAAAACCTAAAACGCAATTTTCGGCTGAAGTTTCAGTTTTCATATCTCTTTATTGTTATCTTCGCTTCTTTTCCCTTCTGTTATCTCTTCTTCTTTGATACTTACAAGGAAAGGTCCCTAGGTGTGTTCCAGGGATTTCGATGGAAGTGATGTGAGATTGCTAAGAGAGGCATACCTATCTCGAATATGAAACAATTAGGTGCTCTCACTGTCTTAATAAAAACTTCTAGTAGAAACAGTTTTCAAAAGTTTGACATATGTATTTCGCTACACAGGTTTGTTCGTGTAAATTTTTCCCTTTAACTGTGATAATCGTAGCTGAGTTCTATACTGTTTTATAGATGACATATAATTAGTTCTATACGGTAGCTCTTGTTCTTGATTCCATCTCGAACGATCGACGAGAAGAGGCCACATAAATGTGTGACGTATACCAAATGTATGACTGTGTTTTCGAAAAACCAGTTCGGAGATTCTTACCCAATAATAACCAAATCAACCATCTTAAGGGTGGGTGTGGGTGTAGATACTGTTCAAAGCGGAGAAGATAAAACTGTACAGTGAAATACATACATGTATGTCAAACTTTTGAAAACTGTTTCTATTAGAAGTTTTTATTAAGACAGTAAAAGCACCTAATTGTTTCATATTCGAGATAGGTATGCCTCTCTTAGCAATCTCACATCACTTTCATCGAAATCCCTGGGACACACCTGGGAACCTTTCTTTGTTAGTCATAACACTATTCAACGAATAATTTCCGATCATTTGGATCTTAGAAAAATTACCGCTCGTTCTATACACAAGCAGTTGAGTAATAAAGAATAAAGAGAATAATAATAAAATGATACATATTGAAAAATAAAATACAATATACTACAGCCAGCACATATCATGACGAAATAGATTTTACAGATAATTTAATATCGTGATATGAGTTGAAGTACGATCAAATAGCATATAGATAGATAGAGCTTTGTCTTCTCTATCAGGCTGTATAGAAAGAAACTTTCTTAAAGTTGACTATAAAGCATTATAGTGTTACTATTACTATTTTTGGTATGACCTAAGTAGTACATTTCACTTTTTTATATCGTTATAGCTGAAGGTCATGATATTGTATTTGCGGCTAATGTATTACAGACAACAGTTGATGCTATTCATTCAGTTGATTCACTACGTCGTCTTCTCGTACCTGGTGGTCTTGTATGTTTACTCGAATTGACTATCACTCATTCATATTTTGATCTTCTCTTTGGTATTTTGCCTCATTGGTGGCGTGATAGATGCATTCGTGCTCCATTGACTCTTGATCAATGGGTACAAGTTATACAGTCCGCCAGTGGATTCGATCTGCCGATAGTATCATCAAAAGAAAATCAATTCGGTAACACGCTTATAATTGCTCGAAAATCAACATTGCGCTCTACTCTTCTGCGACTTCCCGAGTGGCAAGATCAGGCATGGCTCGTACTTGGAAATCGTACAAACGATACAAAAGATTTGTTCGACACACTTTTATCTCATTTACCAAGTTCGAACAACATATTATTGCAAGACATCCTAACAACAGAAGATATTTGTTCAAATATAAAGGACATGCTGGTAAAATATAAACAGGTAGATATTGTGTTTGCTTGGCCACTGGACTTAATTCCACTAGGGCAAAATAACGACGAAACAGTATTCAAAAGACAACACGAGTTGTGCAATGTATTTGTTCGTATTCTTCAAACAATTCAACAATATCGACAGACGAATGCTTCTTTTCCATACGTATTTCTGCTTACACAAAACTCTCAATCAATAGGTAGTAATCAACGTTTTAATCCTAGTGCTGCGCCATTAATTGGTCTTGCTCGTAGCTTAAGTGTTGAATATGGTAGTCATCATATCAAGTTAATTGACTTACAATCAGCAGCGAGTACATCTTCAGATTCATCACTTTCTACTATTCTCATTCAACATCTGATCAACTCTCGAACAGCTGATAACCTTAATGAAATTGTTCTCCATCAGAGTATGGATAATAGCATAGAACGTTTTGAATGGCATTATGATTTGCTTTCATCAAAAGATCCCAATGAATCTTCAGCGGCAGTCGAAACTACTATAATACCTCAAAAGGATGCTGACATGAGTCCATTTCGACTCCAAGTTGCACCATCGCGTTTTGTCAGCGATATTACATGGATAAAACAATTTCCTTTAACTGACACTTTATTACCTGGTCAACTTTTAGTTCGCGTACATTGTGTTGGTGTCAATTTTCGTGATGTTCTCAAAGCACGAGGCCTCTATCCACATACTCGTAAATTCGCTGAATTAGATAAAGATCAACCATTATACGATCGTGATAGTACTATTGGTAGTGATCTTATGGGTACTGTTATTCGCTCAAATTCAACCCGTTTCAACATCGGAGATCGTGTCACTGGCTTACATTTATTTGGTACCTTTAATTCTCATATTATTACTACAGAGCAAAGTGTTTTTCGTGTACCTGAAGAATGCTTGATGTCGGATGAACAATTAGGGTCATTGCCCACTGCATTCCTTACAGCAATCCTTTCTTTAAAATATCGTGTTAAACTCAAGCGCGGCCACATTGTTCTTATTCACGCTGCTACAGGAGCCACTGGTCAAGCTTGTATTCAGTATTGTCAAGCAGTCAATGCGCGAGTTATTGCTACGGCAGGTAGTGAAGAAAAACGACGTTTTCTAAGAGAGCATTATGGTATCGAGCATGTATTCAATAGTCGTGATCTTTCATTTGTAAACAAAATACGATCCCTTTTCCCAGATGGTGTGAATGTTGTTGTCAATTCGCTCTCAGGTCCATTTCTTCAAGAATCTGTCAAATTACTTAAATCTCATGGTCATTTTATTGAAATGGGCAAACGAGATATATTTAATAGAAGCAATCTATCACTTTTTGAATTGCGTGAAGATTGTAATTTCCATGTTATTGATTTGGCTTTACATGGTCGTGATGACCCAGATCACATACAAGAGATGTTAGGCGATATGATGGAATATTATCGAACAGGTTTATTTAAACCTATAGAACCATTGACTATTTTTGAAGCATCTGATGTAGTTAATGCGTTTACTCAGTTGAGTCTTGGCCAATCCATGGGCAAAATCGTAGTTCGCCTAGCTGCTTCTGATAAACCTCTTTTACTCAAGGAAAGCAACTCAAATATACGCAATTGTGAGAATAAACTAGAACGTATGTTATCTAAATCTTTTGATAGCCATTCATATAAAATGTATGCTTTTTTAGAAGCAATGTTTCCACCCATAGTTTGTGACAATGGAACAGTTCTTATCTCAGGCGGTCTTGGTGGTCTTGGCTTAACCATGGCTCGCTGGATGATAGAAAAACGACGTGTTAAACGCATTGCTCTTCTGAGTCGTCGTACTCTCGCACAATTTGAACAGTCCGACCATAATCCACAGCTCGACGAATGGATTCATTTGAAAGAAGTAGCAGCTAAACAGGGTGCTTCAATTGATGTCGTTAAAGTGGATGTCACTCAATTCGACGCCGTACACGGACTTATGGAACGTCTTAATAAAACATCGCATCCAGTACGTGGTATCATACATAGTGCAGTCATATCAGATGATAAACTATTACCTAAGCTGAAATCAGAAACATTGACGTACGTCATGAGACCAAAAGTACATGGCGGGTGGAATCTTCATCAAGCATCACTATTGGTTCAAGCGCCTCTACATTTTTTCATTATGTTTTCATCACTTCGTAATCATTTGATTGATGCTGGATCGAGTGGCTACAATGCAGGAAACGAATTTTTCGAAGCACTTGCACAATATCGATACCAACAACTTCGATTACCAGCTCTAGCCATTGGTTTGCCAGCAATAAGTGGGGCAGGAATGTTTCATCGACAGAAAGAGTTTCTGACAGGTTTATATTCTGCTCAAGGATTGGAGATGTTGTCTACTGTTGTTAGTTTCGAAATAATCGAAAGACTTTTTACTACCCAACCAAATTGTCCATCGCCTGTTATTTTTGCAGTCAACTGGCAAAAATTGAATGCTCAAAAAGATCAATTATCTAATCATCAATTGGCTGAGATCGTTGAGCAACAGGCTAATCAAATTGAATCTAGCCAAATAACAGTAAACAATTCGGATCATCTATCAAAGGATACTCTTGAAACTATTGTTGAGCGAACTCGGGCAGCAGTCATGCGACAACTTGGAATGACCAGCATTGCTCGAATTGACATAAATCGTTCTTTAATTTCACAGGGTATGGATTCGCTTGTTGCCGTATCACTGTACAATTGGCTTGTTCAAGAATGGGGTGCCTTTGTCGCGTTAGCTGAAATTTTTCAAGGCATTTCAATACAACAGATTGCTAATCAAGTGCATAAAAAGTTAAACGATCGTGTTGAAACGGTCGCCACATTGGAAACTACTGCTTCTACCAATATGAATCAGACAGACCAGATTGAGGAAATATCGGAAGCTCCAACAACGAATAGAACGTTATCGTATAATGGTATGGAAAAAATCATAAACATGTTGCCCATTAAAGACAGCAAATCAAACGTGTTCTACATTTCTCATAAAACTATTCTTGACACTGAGTTTATTAAAAAACATGCCAATAGTCAATCAAATGTCTATGTTATTCATGCTTCAAATGATACCTCGAACATGGATATATGTGTTCATGAAACAATTGCTCAAATACGTCGATTACAGCCTCGTGGTCCTTATTCTTTATTACCTATTGACAAGGAAAGTAAAAACATTGTCGATGCAGTAGTGAAGCAACTTGAACACTATGCACAAGCAAACATCAATCATTAATATTGAAAGACGTGAAATTTATTAAACTTTTTTTTTACAAGCAACGCTTGTCGCTTGGACTCGCTTAACCATCGACTGAACAGTTGAAATTGCTTTCATACTACTTTTTATTCTTTGATTGACACGATTTTCGGTAACGTCAAGTATAAATGAATATATGCGTGACAATACTATTTTTATGGCTTGTAATAGTATAATTCATTCAGAAGTTTAATAATACCGGAAAAATCTTTGTTATTGTCAGCAACTTATAGAGATCAGTAACGCATCGGTCCCTTGGACCTCGCTCGACTTACGAGGGAACGTCGCTAGGTGTTACCCTCCGATTTTCCAAATTCCCT